TTTTACTATGATTGATTATAACCAGTGTTCCTGTAGTTAAATGTTTTGTTATATTTAACCTTTCCATGCCACATATTTTTGTTTTGTTTTTTACTTTGATTGATTATAACCAGTGTTCCTGTGGCAGAGCCAAATAGGCAGCACTACTTCCTCTTTTACCAAAACCAAAAATAAACAGTTTAAGTCTGTGGCATCTAAGTCTGTGGTTCTCTTCCATTTCACACGACCAGCTCTCTAATTAAAACTACAAACCCTTAGTAGATTACTACAGTTTCATACTGAAAGAAAATGTTAAATTACTGCAACTCAATGCAGACTTTAAGACTAAGGTGACTGGCTGGTTTCAGTAGAAGGAAAAAATAGAAAGGGAGGTGAGATAGCTTTAGGGGAGTGAATATATTTTTTAATTTGGAAAAAAAAGAAGACAAAAATTATGAACTACACACAGGGGTGGGCTGAAAGCGCTTTGAAAGTCAGCATACAGAAGGGGCAAATAGGTATAACATGAAGCGCCAAATGACTCTCTGATAAGATATTACAGTACTTGATTTTGAGAGAGGCTAATAAGTAATGAGCAAGTGATTAATATCTTTAAGGTAAACTCGAGGTGATTGCATTTCTTTCACAACCAAGCACTCTTTTAATTAATTTCTATTTAAAGAAATCACAGTTCAAGCAAAGGTACACTGAACACAATTATAACTAGACTAAAAAATTCATTTAAGGCAAGCGAAGAGGGATGTTGAGAAAATAACAGCAGACGCAATGAGACATACCCGGACAACTTGACAAAAAACATACATTTTGATTTGTTAAACAAGGAGGCAACTTGCATAGCAGCAATATTAATCACAACCACTCGCATTAATGTATCCATCATGGTAAAGCAATAGAGAACGACGATCCCCTTTGAAAGACGTACATCAGTCTTCTTTTCGAGGTGCAGTTCTTAGTCACATTTGCTCTTGATTGTTTAGGGGTCTTGTCTGATGGCAATTGTCGAAGCTCAGCAAACATTTGGTTGTCAGTCGATTCTGTAAAATATAATACACACACAAAGGTACAAAATGAGAACACTGCTCTCGTAACTTTCACTGTGTCAAGGCCCCAAGGCTTGTAAGTTGTAAATGGTAACAAACAAGATAAGAAATTGAAATGTAATGGAGACAATACGAACCATTGAATTTGTATGGTGAAGAAGTTTGAACTGAAGATACTGGTTAGCAGGTGGTGACAAATCAGTTGCACGAAACGAACAGGAGTGACATCTCCGAGGAAAACTGACTCGAGCATCCTCTCTCCGCCACAAATATCACAGCACCTGAAAAATGAGAGAATCATGCGAGTAAAGCGTTGAAAGATAACATTTTCCCTACGCGGTCTCATAGGTTAGACGGCCCTTCAGAAATGCAAAGAAAAGGTAGCGGCAACAGTGGCAAATGGCAACAAGCAATCGCAGACATTCGTTTCTCTAAAAAGTAAATAAAAAAAATCATGCGAGGCGGGACGGAAGAAAAGCGGCGAGACAACGACGAGCGGTAACAACATACTCACTTCGGAGTACATGTAGTCGTAGTACGTGTTGCCCTGTTGCCGGCCGTCGACCGGCCGGTACAGTACACCGCGGTTCGCTATGGACTCAAACTGTAGAAGAGCAGCAATTAGACGCCCGTTCCCAAAGGACGCTCTCCCCCGGTCACATTTTTCTTATTTTAAATAAAATCAGTGAAGTGTGGTCGTGTCAGACTTCAGTGAGTGTGTACAGTGCAAGTACGATGCTGATCATCTGTCGGAGCAGACGGATTTCAAGGGGGCATTGGAGAGGTTTAAAGCCTTTGTTTGGTGTTGCCTGCGCTCAAAAACACTACGTCTACTGAGGAAAGCAGCATTTTTCAACCTGGCAAGTATACGTATGGCAAAATGCAGTATGTTTAGCGACTTTGTAAGGTTACGGGAGGTTAGGGATAGACGACAGGGTGCGGGGAAGAAGGGAGGGAGGGAGGGAGGGGAGGTGGACGAAGGGGACGATTGGTGAGGCTAAATGGGTTGCCTAAGAGTCCGGCGCTCGTCCCGCGCCGGCACACGAGCGCCTTCAAAGCGCTGGGTAGGCCAACCCGCTAAGCATCTGTGTGAAGACGGCGGCCCGCCCAGAGCGCCCAAGTGCGAGACTGCGAGACCGTTAGTGCGGGGTGGCGTCGTCGTCGTGCTCCGAGGACTCCGATGACGTCCTTCGGGATGCCCGGATGGCCTCGGCACCACCAGATTCGGTCTCAGCGCGTCAAAAAACCCCCAAGTACCAAATTTGGTAGGGATCGCACAACTCACCCTCCCCTAATAACAGAGAAGGGGGACCCCTTTGCTTGCGAACCCGGTGTAGAGGCGAGTGGGCCCAGGAGGGGGGCCAGTTAAGCTCCATCTGGGCCCCAACTGGTGCCCCCTTGGGGCGTGACCGGGCATCCTGGCGCGCTGCCGACGGAGCCCCTCACAGCGGCCAAT